GTGTCCCCGCACAGACTCACATGTTGGAGCCCCAGGACCTCCGAATGTGGCTGTATTCGGAGACGGGTCTTTAAAGAGGTGAGTTAAAATGAGGTCAGGAGGTGGTCCCTGATCTGATACCAGGGGTGTCCCCATAAGAGGATATCAGGACACAGACCCACAGAGTAAAGACCATGTGAAGACCCAGGGAGGAGACAGCCGGGTACAAGCCGACGGGGGCATCGGAATGGGACCAACGCTGCCGACGCCCTGGTCTTGGACTTGTAGCCTCCAGAGCAGTACGGAGGAAACTTCTGCTGTTGGAGCCACCCACTGGGTGATTCTGTGACTGCTGATACGGCGGCCTTCAGAAGCGAATCCACCGCCTTCCCCTCACGAGCCTGTGCTGAATGACAATGCCTTTCACTGGAGCAGCAGCCAGAGGGAAACTCCTGGCTGAAGGCGCCAAGGTTGCTAGACGAGGGGTTCAGAGAAGAGAACGCCAGAGTGGCTTGTCTTACGGAGCTCTGCGGCCTGAAGCTGCACACGGAGAAGGGACACCTCCTGGCAGACCTGGCCTCCGAGCATGAAGCAGCCTCCAGAATCCTACAGGCCAGGCACCCCTCTGAGCCCACACTCGGCCCAAAGTTATAGTAAGAAGAGATCTCACAGATGCATATGGACAGCACACGTGTACTATCAAACTTAGGGTTTCACAGAAGCCTTCAATTTGTAGACACATTAAATTTGATGAGGCTTTTTTTCCCTTTTTTAAATTGTGATGGTCAGGCATTTCTTGGCCAAGCTTTTTCTTTTTTTAGGATTCTTTTAAGGTATGCTTATTTATTTATTTATTTATTTGGTGAGGAAGATTGGCCCTGAGCTAACATCTGTTGCCCATCTTCCTCTTTTTTTTTTCCTCCCCAAAGCTCCAGGACATAGTTGTATATCCTAGTTGTTGTAAATCCTTCCAGTTCTTCTATGTGGGTCGCTGCCACAGCATGGCTTGATGAGTGGTGTGTAGGTCCGCGCCTGGGATCTGAACCCATGAACCCTGGGCCATGAAGCAGAGCACGCGAACTCAACAGCTTGGCCAGAGGGCCGGCCCCTGATGAATTTTAATACCACATTCTATCAAAATATTTTCTTCCAGAGCAGGACTGTAATTTGCTTATAGAGAGCAGATGGATAGACACTTGGCATCTTAGAAGTTTTCTAAAGCAGTGTTTCAAGGTAATCCTTGAGCAAATTGGGCAACTGAGTTGGCTGAGATTTTTTTTTTTCCTAAAACAGTGAAAGAGAGAATTGTGCAATTTTTTCTAACCCAGCATTATTTAGAAGTTGATTACAAGGCATTCTCCGCAAACACCACCCCCTACACTTATTTCTGGTAATAAAAAATTAGGAGAAGAGACAGGGCTGCTTATTAGCTAGAAATCCCATATAATTACAGTGATAATATAATTTATCTTTCAAACAAGGACATTTTTCAGAGTGAAAGAAGACTCTATTAAAAATTATGCCAGGATAAAGTCAGCATCCAGGGCTGTTCGACGCCAACCTACATCATTATACTAGTCAAACAAATATCTTTGCCCTAGTTACAGCTGTCACTGAGGAATCTTCCAGGGCATTATCTCATTATTCGTTTAGTCTTAAAAATCATAAGCATATTTCTTTTCCTTCAGAGAAAGCTGTTTGGATAAGCTCATGATATGAAGTAATTTTAGTATTTCTCAAAGCTTTGTCACGTGAAGAACTGTCAGTTTGGGGGGCCAGCATCTGAATGCCTCGAGTGAGCTGCCCCTCTGCTGACTCATGCAGCAACGAGAGGAGCTGGGATAGTGGTGGTCTAGGGGTTAAGGGGCCAACATTCTAGTTCCAGCTCTGCCACAACCGGCTGCACGACCACAGACAGTTTTCTTACCTGTAAAACGTGAAGGTTGGACCACATGATTTCTCATCAGCCATGGCTCTAGCATCGGAGGTGATCAGGCTGAAGCAACCTTGTGTGCTACTCTCACATTGAGCGGTAAGGTTCCGCCATCCTTTCCCTTTTTTTAAATTTTTTTTTTTTAAAGATTGACACCTGAGCTAACATCTGTTGCCAATCTCATTTTTTATTTCTTCTTCTCCCCAAAGCGCCCCAGTACATGGTTGTATGTTCTAGTTGTAGGTGCTCTGGTTGTGGCATGTGGGATGCCGCCTCAGCATGGCCTGATGAGAGGGGCCATGTCCACACCCAGGATCTGAACCGACAAAACCGAGGGCCGCCAAAGCAGAGTGCACGAACTTAACCACTGGGCCACAGGGCCAGGCCCCACCATCCTTATATCAACCTAGGATTTGGTAAGAAGGAGCATAGGGACACACAAAAAAAGACAAACATTGACTCCAAGATTGGAATGAACCTGAAAAGTTGAAATTCTTGAGAAAAGTGAAATATTAGGATAATTATTTAAAAATGAAAGCATGAAGAAGCATAAATGATGACTCTCATAACGCCTTCTCATTAGCAACAGCTTCATTTGCAATAACTTTTAGCATATAACTCGGTAATGTGGTCTTCGTTCGTACATACCTCCTGCGTAATCCACAGGAGTTTATCTCAAAAGTTGGAAATTACCCTTTTCACCCACCAGAATGACAAGAAATTAAAGGTGCAATAATAACTAGTGATACAGAGGCTATCAGGAAATGGACACATGTTGTCAGTAGGAGTATGAACTGTTTCAACCGTTTTTAAAAAAATAAACTTTTGGGGGCCAGCCCCATGGCCTAGTGGTTAAGTTTGGCACACTCCACTTCAGTGGCCCGGGTTCAGTTCCCAGGCATGGACATACACCGCTCAATACCAGCCGTGCTGTGGCGGTGACCCACGTGCAGAAAGATTGGCACAGATGTTAGCTCAGGGCAAATCTTCCTCAGCAAATAAATAAATAAACTTTTAAACTGTGGGGCTGGTCTCATGGCAGACTGGTTAAGTTTACGCACTTTGCTTCAGCAGCCCAAGGTTTTGCCGGTTCACATCCTGGGCCCGGACATGGCACCGCTCCTCAAGCCACACTGAGGTAGCATCCCACATTCCACAACTAGAAGGATCCACAACTAAAAATACACAACTATGTACCGGGGGGCTTTGGGGAGAAAAAAGAGAAATAAAATCTTTAAAAAAAAAAATTGAGATATGGTTTACTTACAATAGAATGCACCCATTTTGATAAGCTAAGACTAATATCCCCGTAAGTCACCACCACAATCATATAGAGCATTTCTATCACTCCCAAAATGCCCCATTCTAGTTAACTCTCCCAATCCCCCACCACAGGCAACCATTGGTCCATTTTTTGTCCCCATAGACTAAATTTGTCTTTTCCAGAATTTCATATAAATGGAATCATCTGTATGCATTCTTTTTGCTTCTTTCGCTCATTCTCCCAGTAGAATAGTGTCTTTAAGATTCTCGGATGCTGCTGCACAGATCAGTCTTTTTCGTGAGGAGTAATGGTCCGTTGTGTAGATAAGCCACAATGTGCTTATCCAGTCACCTGCCAGTGGACAATTGGGCTGTTCCCAGTCTTTGGATGTTATGAACAAAGCTGCTATGAACATCTGTGTCCAAGTCTTTGTGTGGATATAAGTTTTCATTTCTCTTAGGTAAACGTGTGAAAGTTATTGGCTTGTGATGGTTTGTTTTATGTGTCAACTTGACTGGCTACAGGTTTCCCAGATTAAACATTATTTCTGGGTGTGTCCATAAGGGTGTTTCCAGACGAGATGAGTCTTTGAATCATGGGCTCAGTGAAACGGACGGCCCTCCCCATGTGGCTGGGCATCATCCAATCCATCGAGGGCCCTCACACAAACACTTGTCCCCTTTATGGGACTTCTCAGCCTCTATAATTTCATGAGCAAATTCCTCATGGTAAATCGCCATATATGTATCCTATTTTCTGTACAACCTTGCCTAATACAACACCTAAGAGCAGAATTTTCTGGGTTGTATGGTAAATGTATGTTTACAAAAAATTGCCAATCTGTTTGCCAATCTGATTACCTCATTTTATATTCACGCCAGCAATTGTTACGATGTGTGTTAGGATCCCATTGTGGTTTGAATGTGCATTTTCCTGATGACTAATGACATTGAGCATCTTTTCATATGCTTCTTAGCCATTCATACATCTTCTTTTGTGAAGCTCAGTTCAGTGCGAGTTCTTGATATATTCTGGATGGAAAATATTTTGGATGATATGTATACTGAGGCTATTTTCTCTCAGTCTGTGACTTGTGTTTTCATTAAAAAATTTTTTGTTTGAGGAACAGAAATTTAAGATTAAATTAATTTAATTTTGATTGCTTGGGTTTGATTTGTGTTTGTGTCCTTTGTTTTCTTTTCTTTTATTGTTTTACCTTTTATATTTAGGATTATGGTCACCTGGAATTTATTTTTGTGTATGGTATGAATTAGGGGTCAAAGTTACTTGTTGTGCCTTAAGGATGTCTAACTAACCCAGACCCATTTATGAAAAGGCCATTCTTTCCCCTCATTGAATGCCAGTGTTTGTTTTCTTATTATTGAGTTATAAAAATTCTTCATATATGCTAGATGTAAATGCTTTGTTAGTTACATGTATTGAAAGCCTTTTCTTCCAGTCTGTCACTTATCTTTTCATTTGCTTAACAATGTCTTTTGAAAAGCAGAAGTTTTTCATTTTGATGAAGTCCAATTTATGCAATTTTTTATTTTATGCTTTGCACTTTTTTGTGTCCTAAGAAATCTTTGCCTAACCCATGATGGTGAAGATTTCCTTCTCTGTTTTTTTTCTAGAACTTTTATAGTTTTTGATTTTGCATTTGTTATATGATCCATTTTGAGTTAATTTTTGTATATGTTGTGAAATAAGAATCAAGGTTTAATTTTTTGTTCTTATATCTTTTTTTATTAATAGACAATTTTTAGAACAGTTTTAGGTTTACAGAAAAATTGAGCAGATAATAGAAAATTCCCATATATCCCACACCCAATTTCCCCTGTTACTAACATTTTACATTAGTATGTTACGTTTGTTACAATTAATGACCCAATATCAATACATTATTATTAACTAAAGGCCACAGTTTATTCAGATATCCTTAGTGTTTACCTAGTGTCCTTTGTCTGTTTCAGGTTCCCCTCTACCCCATTCCATTGATCGATCACGTCTCCTTAGTTTCCTTTTGGCTATGACAGTTTCTCAGACTTTCCTGTTTTTGATGACTTTGGCCTGCAGCTTTTTTATACCCTCTGACCCTGCTCACTGCGGTCCAGAATGCACTGCTCCATCTACTACAGATCACTGCTGGGTCCACCCACCCTTTTGACTTGGTGAGTCTGACAAGACCTGGCTCTTGATGGGCAGCCTTAGGCACACAGGCACTTGATGTCTCCTGGTCAAATGCTCTGTTGAGAAGTAGCAGATGCAGTGGCGTGTCCTTTAATTTGATGCGATGTTCTAGCATACCCCTAACCACTGTACTGGTGTGGCAGGCTCCTGAGTCTTCCTAGAGTTTAATCCCACTTTTATGGAGCGTACCAAGGCCTCCAATTTGCTAGCCACTTCTTGTTCATCTGATGAACACAATATCACCGGAGTAATGGACTCACGTGATATTCAATGGAATGTCCAGATGGTTCAGGTCCCTATGGATATATTACGACAGATGGCAGGAGAGAGAGCATAGCTGTAGGGGAATACTGTAAATATGTACTCTTGTGTGTCCTGTATAAATAATATCTTTTCTGATGCCCCTTTCTAATAGGAGTGGAAAAGAAACCATCACCAAGTCAACGGCTGTATACCATGGACCTCAGACTGTGCTAATCTGCTGTAACAGAGACACCACAACTGGCAGCGCAGCTGCAATTAGAGCATGAAGAGGGGAAGTGAGGCAGAAGACGAGACCAGAAGTGCAGATTGGTGCCAGATTGCAAAGGGCCCTGAAGGGCTCACAATGGGATTGGACCATGGCCTGAATACGTGAGGAGTCCCCACAGGTTGTAGTATGTTCCATCCACTCACTCCTTTAAAACAGAAAACTGCAAGCTTCCGAATGAACTGTCTCACTAGCTGGAGTCCGTGCTCCGTGCCGTGACGGGCTGCCCTGTTCCCGCCTTCAGGATGGAAACGCTCATCCTCCTGGCTATTAAAATGTCACAGCTGTGTCCCAGCCACCCTTAAACTTCCCTTATTTCCGGACTAGAACGTGCTCTTCCAACCTTCCACTCCTCTGCCTTTGCTGTCCTTTCTCTGGGCTATCTCCTCCACTTCCCATGTCTGGAGAAATTCTATTCATTCTGCAAGACTTCCTGGGATGTTTCCTCTCCCTCGTGATAGGATTAACCGCTTCCTTCTGTTTCCAGAGCATTTTGTTCACAATGTGAGCTTAGGACTTGAACAGATTCTGTATGTCACGTTGTGGCTGTCAGTGTCCTTGGCTCCCCTATGAACTGTGTACTCTGCACATCAGTCTGGGCCATGTGTCCTTTATCTTCATGTCACCAGAGGTTTCCATACAGCCTGACACGTAAGGAATGTTAGTGAATTAAATTTGTTATTCAGTTGAATCAGATTCTGGTGTTAAGAAAGGAAAATAAACTCCAGGCTGAGATGCACACATTTTTTCTTTCATAAAACATGCATTTGTTGTCACAAAACAGTGGGCTCAAAGAGGACTTTTTGTGCTAATCGTTTATCATTCTGAATTTGTAAAGTAAAACTGTCAAAAACCTAAGTCCTTTCTTTTTCTTTCCATCTGAATTGGAACTATTTAACCAGAAATGCACGTGACTCTAATACCTTCACAAACTGTTTAATTGTGTGTGTGTTGAGATGTGAGCTTATGTTTAGAAACTCCCAGACACTCTTTGATTCATTCATCTTTTATCTTCAAGCACGATCCACATAATAATTAAACCAATAAAATAGTGCTGAGAACACTGTTTATAGTTTCAGAATTACAACCTGGTTTTTAGTTTAACACAAACCCTAATTCTTTTTAAATTTTTTTTGAGACATAAACTATTTACTGCCGTGAAAGACTACAATTTTGACATGTGTTTACATCTTTCTCAGATGCAAATATTCAGTGGAAGGATTGCCAAACTAACGTTCCCAGCACTTGACTATGTTTTTTAAAATGTGAACCACAGACTGACATACACACCTCAGTGCCTGTGTCTGCATTATGGACCAAGTGTGTGCATTTTAGACAACAAACAAGACATCTAACCAAGCTAGAAAATTGTTCACTATGTTCGTTAGACCTGACTTGCCACTAGCTCTAAGATCTCAAATCACATATAGAGATCCCATCTCTCTCATGCAAAAGTCTAAGTGTAGACAGTTCAGTTCTCTTATGGCAGGTCTAGGATCATCTGAGCCCCAGAAGCCTCTGGATTTCTGTTCCACCAGCCCAAGGGTCTGGTCCTCATTCTCATGGTCCAAGAAGGAGCACTGGCCATCATATCTACATCTCAGTGTTCAATGGGTAACAGGGAGAAGCAGCATCCCCTATCCCCTTTAGGGACCTGTCCTGGAAGTTGTGGATATCATATCCCATTGGCTGGAACTCACTTCTGTGGCTACACACAGCTGCCAGACGAGACTGGGAAATACAGCCTATATTTAGCATGGCCACGTGGCCAGCTAAGTATAGGTGGTCCTATAACTGAAGAAAAAGGGGAAAACATACATTAAGGACCACTGATATCTTTGCCACATGCACACATGCCAAAATGAAAACACAATGCTCAGATGACATTTTGCAAAATACTAAATTGGAGGATTCCAGCTTTGGAGAAGCTCTCTTTGTCTGTCTTCGTTTCTTCCACTTGCCCAAACATACGTCTCCCACTTGCATTTCCTGTTTTCGTGTGTGAGGCCATGTGTTCCTCAGAGCCTCCATGGCTTGGCAGGCTCCCTTCACAGACGGCCTTGGGGCTGCCTTTGGTGATTCAGGAATGTATCTAATTTGCCCTACACGAGCTCAACTCAGCATCAGACTCATTTGGCAACACTAATTTATTTATAAATAATCATTAACCTTTTCTTAAGTGTTTTGTTTTGTTTTGCATTTGGCTTGCCAAAACTAAAACACAGGTTTTCTGAGGGTTTAAAAAAATAACACTGGCAAGATGAGAAAAAGAACTGGGGACATAAGTGGGAGTAGGAAATTGCAGTTAAAAATTACTTAAATGGTTCTCTTGGAGCTGCTTCAGCTGCCAAGGGAGTGGGTTTTTCCATCTCTTTCTCTTTCAACCTGGAATTTTCATCACTCTCATAAACCACATCAATGCCAAAAGGTTTTTTGTGGGGGTCAAGGGACACTGCTATAAGCTTAACATTATCCTTGGTGCTGCGGAAATACAAAAGAAATTTACATCTTGGGCTTCCGGGGGTGGCCTACTGTCACGGGAAGGACAAGTGTATGAATTTAGTCGGGATAAATAAGTTATGCTGCCATAACGAATACATGGTGAAATCTCAGTAGCTTAACACAATAAACATTCATTTTTTTACTTACCTTTCAGTCCAAGGCAGGTCTGGCAGCCACTCCCCATCTCATAGGACTGCCATCTGGAACTCACATCCTTCAAACTTGCCGTGAAAGGAGAAGCAGGACTATGGGACAAAGCAGGATGTTTTGAAGAGCCAGGCCTGGAAGCTTCTCTGTATAGGACAGAATTCAGCCACAGGGCAGGAACCGAATTGCAAGGTCAACTGAGGCTGGAAGCCTAGTCTCCCTGTGAGTCCAAGAATAGGAAATGTGGCAAACGCATGGCAGCATCTCTGCCACACCTGGGCTTAACTCTCAGCTCTTCTGCTTTTTACCTTTATGATCATGGGCAATTTACACAGTTTTTCAGCCTCAGTTGTCTTATATATAAAATATACATATTATCAATTGTTTGGGTAAAAGTTAAGCGTTGGACACCTAGGTAGTCATGAAATACTGACTTTTTCTTTTCTTTAGAGGCACCTACAGTCTTAGAGACAATACTTTACATATATGCAAAAACTAGAAGCATCTCCAAATTTGTCCTGAAGACTGCACCTGGGAGTGATCATTAAGATAAAGGTTTCTCTCCCCTCCAACCCAGACAAAAACTCCAAAAGTACAAATCTCATGGGTGGGCCTATAAACCTTTGTTTTATATTCTCTTCCTAGAGTATTCTCTTTTTTAAAAAGAAAATTGTGGTAAAATATACATAACAGAAAGTTTACCATCTTAGCCTTTTTTCCTTTTTTGAGGAAGATTAGCCCTGAGCTAACTGCTGCCAATCCTCCTCTTTTCGCTGAGGAAGACTGGCCCTGAGCTAATATCTATGCCCATCTTCCTCTACTTTATATGTGGGACACCTGCCACAGCACGACTTGCCAAGCAGTGCCATGTCCACACCCGGGATCCGAACCAGCGAACCCTGGGCTGTTGAAGCGGAACGTGCGCACTTACCTGCTGCGCCACCGGGCCGGCCCACCTTAGCCATGTTTAAGCATATAGTTCAGTAGTGTTAAGTACATTTACATGATCTTGCGATTTCCAGAACTCTTTTCATCTTGCAAATCTAAAACTCTGCACCTGTTAAACAACAACTCCTCATTCTCCCTCCCCGCAGCCCCTGGCAACCACCGTTCTGCTTTCTGGCTGTGAATTTGACTACTCTACATACCATGTGTAAGTGGAATCGTACAGTATTTGTCTTTTTGTGACTGGCTTATTTCACTCAGCATAATGTTCTTACATATTATCCATGTTGTATCACCTGTCAGAATTTCCTTCCTTTTTAAGGCAGAGTAATATTCCATCGTGTGTATGTATTAGCACATTTTGCTTCTCCATTCGTTCATCCACATACACTTGGGTTGTTTTCACCTGTGGCTATTGTGAATTGTGCTACTACGGCCACGGGTGTACAAATACCTCTTTGAGACCCTGCTTTCAATACTTTTGGGTATATACCTGGAAGTGGAATTGCTGAGTCATATGGTCATTTTATTTTTAATTTTTCGAGGAACCAGATGACTCTTCTGGCCATCAAAGTTTGAGAAGCACTGGACTAGTGCTCAAGAAAAGATATAATCAAGTGCCAGTTTTGCCCAATGAGGCAATAAATTTGATGGGAGGTTAGGAAGGAAGAGGAGAGAACAGAAAGGACGAGGTGGGAGGGGAGCATTACAGAGAAAGGATGAGGGTGGGGAGCCACCTTGAAACATGAATTTGAATAAAATGAAATGCAAGGAGAAAGCAGTCTAGGTGGGAAAGCACAGAAGCAAGTCAAGGAGGAGACCGCTAGAGCAGCAGGTGACATGAGAGGAAAATCATGCTGAAGGCCCGTACGAGATGAATTGTCAGGAGAAGAGGAGTTAGATTATTGCAAGCCTTGCAAACTAGGCAGATGGATTCAGATTTAAGGCAACAGACAACAGACAACTCCTGAAGGCTCTTAAAGAGAGGTGTCATATGGTAATTGCCGTGTCATCATCCAGGAAAATTAATATCGTCAACAAAATAGCATTAAAAGTGCATTTCTATGCAAATTCCATTGTAGTGGGAATTTCATTAAAATTATTTAAATTGTTACTGTAATATTATAAAGGAACATAACTATGAATTATTGTTCCCCTCTGTCCACCAGAAGCCTCTAATAGAAAAAGATATAAAGAACAGCTAGAGATATAACTAGCATCTTCCACAATAGCTGGCAAATGCAAAACAAGGAAACCTTTCTGTCTGAATGGAATAAATAATATGAAAACGTGTGTAATAAAAGTGCTGTGTCTTTGGGATTTTATGCCAAAACTAGCCAGAGTTGGGGTATTTGAAACGTTCCTATATTAAAGGTCCACCACATATTACTTGTATGGCGGTGAGCAACTTAACATCTTCATGTTGTAGTGTCTTCATTTCCAAAATGGGGGTAATACTGGGACCTAATTCAGAGTTTTTGTGACGATTTAATGAGTTATTGTATGTAGGGTCTGGTGCTGGATAATGAATAAATACTGTATTAATTTTATTATCTGTACTCTTTAAAGAAATAAATGAAGGTTAATAAAATAATTTCCTGTTCCAACAAGAAATCGTCAAGCATCACAAACTTTCAAACTCTTGCTTTCCCTCAACTGATCTTGAACTTGAAGACATTCTCCACGTGGACTTCCTTACTTGGAGCAAAGCAAACTAAAGGACTGTTTATAAAATACCTTAATTTGAATAGTTCTCAATAGGACCTCAAAGCCTTCACTTTTTTCTTCTCAGTCCAATTCCCATTCATTCATCCTTTTTTCTGAATTTTCTATGGCATCCTTATTAAATGCAAGATTTTAAACAACAAGGACCTGACCAGGAGTGGGAGCAAAAGAAGGATTGGCTGGGCTGGTAAGTCTCGGGTACAGGGACCAAATCTGTTTTGTTCAGTGCTGAATCCTATGCCTCGCCCACACCTGACATGTAGGAAGAGACCAATCAAAGAAGCAATGACTCGGGGCCGGCTCCGTGGCCGAGTGGTTAAGTTTGCGCACTCCGCTGCGGCGGCCCAGGGTTCGGATCCTGGGCGCGGACATGGCGCCGCTCGTCAGGCCATGTTGAGGCGGCATCCCACATCCCACAACTAGAAGGACCTGCAACTAAGATATACACCTGTGTACCGGCAGCAGGGGAAATAAAGCAGAAAAAAAAAAAAAAAAAAAAAAAAAGATTGGCAGCAGTTGTTAGCCCAGGTGCCAATCTTAAAAAAAAAAAACAAAAAAAAGAAGCAATGACTTGTGGCCTCCCAGGTCATCCTTCATCACAACCATCAGTCATGATATTACTAATTCAAAGGAACAGGTAGAGATTTGATGAAAGACAAGAGATCATTGCATATGGCAGCACTGACAGTGAGGACCTCAGGAAAAATGTTTAATGAAAAATCTGAATCAGAAGAATATAATC